AGATTGCTCCGCGTACTAAAGTTGTACTAGAAAGTCGCCAGTTCTCACCATCCAGCTCCACAGATACTCCGCGTAGTAAAGTTGTACTATGACAAAGTCGCCAGTTCTCCTCGTCCAGCTCGCCAGATACTCCGTGTACTAAAGTTGTACTACGAAGTCGCCAGTTCTCATCTTCTAGCTGCACAGATTGCTCCGCGTACTGAAGTTGCACTACAAAGTCGCCAGTTCTCATCGTCCAGCTCGCCAGATACTCCGTGTACACTACAAAGTCGCCAGTTCTCATCGTCCAGGTTGCCAGATACTCCGCGTACTAAAGTTGTACTACAATGTCGCCAGTTCTCAGCTTCCAGCTCACAAATTGCTCCGCGCACTAAAGTTGCACTACAAAGTCGCCAGTTCTCAGCTTCCAGCTCCCCAGATGCTGTGCCTGCCACGAAATCTGCACATGGAGGTTCACAAAGTGCTGTGCCTGCCACGAAATCTCCACATGGAGGTTCACAAAGTGCTGCACCTGCCACGAAATCTGCACATGGAGGTTCACAAAGTGCTGCACCTGCCACGAAATCTGCACATGGAGGTTCACAAAGTGCTGTGCCTGCCACGAAATCTGCACATGGAGGTTCACAAAGTGCTGCACCTGCCACGAAATCTGCGCATGGAGGTTTACAAAGTGCTGCGAAATCTGCGCATGCAGGTTCACAAAGTGCTGCGCCTGCCACGAACTCTGCACTTCAAGAGACAAGTGAAAACTCTAACCGCAATGGAGGGACGATTCGAGCATGATCCGACCATGACCCGAGACCGTCTCGCAACCGTCGTTCCGCAGAGCTAGACTTGCCAGGTTCGAAGCCACCGGTTCTTTTGAAAAATACAGCATTTCGTGCGTCCGCTATCTCTCGAAAACGCATTTTGTATTGCACCTGCCACGAAATCTGCACATGGAGGTTCACAAAGTGCTGCACCTGCCACGAAATCTGCACATGAAGGTGTTCACAAAGTGTTGTGCCTGCCACGAAATCTGTACATGGAGGTTCACAAAGTGCTGCACCTGCCACGAAATCTGCGAG